TTTTTTCTCAAATTTTAGTTGTTAACGTTTTAACTTTTTCTTGATTACATTTTTCTTGATTACATTAAAATATGAATTTAAAAAAATGTACTTTTATTTTGATTACTCCGTTTTAAATATAATTTCTTTTTTAAAAAAAAAAGATTCACAATTTTTTTTTAATTAATAAAAATGACTGGATAAATGTGCCTCCTTATTTGCATTACAATTTAAATTAAAATCAAATAACATAGCATATTTTCAGTGTTTGGTTGCTCACAAGCAACAATGAATGGTTTTTTGAGAAAAAGAGAAAGGGGCGATATGTGTCAGCCAACCCCAAGAGGGGGGCGATGGTCCACAAAAGGTTGGGAACCACTGATTTAGATAATTGTAAATTGTTAGTTCGGCCGTAGCGCTACGTTACAAGCGTAACGATTAGCTTTACGGCTATGCATATGCAATATAGTAGGATTGGAAAAGGTGAATTGATCTTGAGATGTATTTATTATGGGTTTGGGGTTGTGGATTGATTCTTTGTCACAGAATTGTGTAATTTAAGACATTACCTCTTACATCAGGAACCCTCTTCACGGTTTTTCATAAGTAGTCGGCGCAGACTATTTTAAACGTGAACCAGTTGTGCACATAAATCCAAATTCTTTTTTAAAATTGTAATTGAGAGAAATTATTTTTCTAAATATTTGAGAATTGAATCTGTAGTGGTTGACAGGTAAATAAGAGAAACCAATCATATTCATAAATTAAACAAATTTTTAAGACGTATATTTGCTACCACTATCTAATTTTTACTAAATTTTGCATTAAATGCTCCTTTCGGAATCTTTACAATTGTAGTGGTCTGATCGGACTACCGACAGAAGAATCCTTGTAGATTCAGTTATAGGAGGCTATGGTTAAGATCGCTAAGAAAGTAGAGCTTAAAGGCACTTTTTCATTAAATATTTGCGCAAAGCATTCCTAATGTCATGCACAATAAATTGTCATCTATACATAATAATAAACGCGGCTGTGTGTGTCTGTAATCACAATGTATCGCCCCAGAAGTCTCGCCCAGGCACGAAACTCGGCACATAATTGTGTTTTGACATAATGAAGAAGTAATTTTTTTCTTTTTCAAAAATTCTTCTTAGTTATCAGTCATTTTGTAAGAAAATCTATGCTTTTTCGTCTTCAAAGAGCCATATTNCTAAAATGCTTCAACATTATTGCACAGTTCCACGGTTGTTTGCGATCTCGAGTTGAACTAACGTAAAATCGGAAAGAAGCAGGTTGTGAACATGAAACATGTGCTCATTCCTTTCCGATCCCGCACCGGTCACACTTTTTAAAGAAAATCGGGTATGAGTCGGATCGGAACGCTGCATGACAGGTGTGTCCCAGCCTTAATTCAGGGTGGTCCGTCTTTTTTCTCCTCTTTTGCGACCTGTACATTTGATATTTATTACACAACTCTTGGGTATTTGATTTTTTTTTTTTTACATTAGAGTTAGAAAAATGAAGCCGAAATTTTTAATTCGAATACAATTCGTTTCAGATTTGTTGGTGAATTTAGCACTCAATTGCAATTTTCAATATATATAATATATTGAAGAAAAAAAAAAGAAATAAAAACTCTACATTTTTAATCGAACGCTCGATACTTCGCGCCATTGATGAATTTCGAAAATTTGAATTGAAAACTTGAAAATAAATAATTAAAAAAGGATACAGTTTCATACAAGTGTCTGAAATGATGAAACTTAATGTTTCGTAGCATTTTCTCATGTCGTGCTGAAAGCTAAATAATCAGGTTCACAGTGAAGAAGATATTTATTTATTTATTTTTTTATTGAAACAGATATGATACATTAAAATGTAACGATCATCTTTGGCATACCAGAGGAAGGAATATGATATAACAACAGTATTCAACATTGTTCATTCAGTACAATAGAAATGGAAACAAACAAATTGAAATGAAAAAAAAATCAAATCACAACTGTTTTTTCTTCCATCTAAGGACAGACATTTTTTTCTCAACTTAATTAAATACATTAAATTTAAATATGTAGATGTTAAAAAAATTTGAATCATATGTAATGTCTATGGATATAGAATTTTTTTTAAAATGTAATTGTTTGTACATTTTTATGAGTCAAAAATGGTAGCATATTCTGTAAGAAAACAATAGAATCGATTACTCTAAATTGCATGGCGAATAGAGATGTCTGGTTTATAAAAATAAAATTTAGTGGAACCAAATTGTTTTTTAATACCAAATTAATAATAATTTTCTCTGTTAAATCTAGTTTTTTTTCCGCCACTCATTGTTTGTAAATTTTTGAAATAATAAGTTAGGTTTGATACATGACGTAAATACACAATCTTTATGTATTTTTTAATTTGTTTTCTTTTTTTTTTCAAAATAAGACTTTATAAAAGAAGAGAGTCTGGAAACCTTATGAAGATGAAGTAACAGAAAATAAATCAGTTTCCAGAGGTTCGCGGATAAATCCCTTTTCCTGATATTATTGTGCTTAATATTCTAACGAAATATGTGATTTATATTATAAATTTGTAACCGTAGCAGAGCAATTTATGTTAAAGGCACATTCGCTATTTCTCAGTTCTTTTCTTGCATTGTTTGAAAAAAATTCATTTTTGCTTCATAAAATCTAAATATAATTCTAGAACTATAATAATTAATAATTACATAAAAGAATTAGATAAATTCTAGATTAAGCGACTCACAAATTCAAATTCCTAAAGAGGGATGGTAAATTTAACAAAATATAGTTTATGAAGATTAAATTAATTGTTGCTCCTATATCTTTTATATACTATGCCTGGAAAGGAAATAAGTTTTTGACGGCTTTAATTCTGCCATTCTTTCATTGACATGGCTAATTATTATTTAGATTTCTGATATGTCTTTTATTAAAAGAAAAATTATTGCCCCCCCCCACGTTTAGGTTCAAATGACATAATTTTTGACAAGTGATACCAAATAATACTAATTGTAAAAACAACTTAGTACTATTTGTATCATTTATTTTATTCTTTTACTGAAACAAAATGTATTCTTCAAAATTTACTACCACTTTTGATATCAATTTAAGGTTTAATAACAGGATGAAAGTTTATTTGTATAGGACAATTTGCATAGCAATATTTTATTATGAGTGTTAAGCATATAGCTTATTAATATTTTTTTAAATCGAATATCAACAAGTCTCGCGAATTAAGTAAAATAAATATTTTTTCCCAAAATGTTCTCATAACAATCAGTAAAAAATATGCGAAATATTTTAAGAAAAAACTAAAAAGAAAGAAACATTTTGAAATATCTTCTACATAAAACATTTTAACAACAAGAACAAAATATAAATTTTCTTCTCAACCTAAACACTATAATAAATTACTAATTACGAAATAGAAAACATAAATAAACATATAAATTTTATAAACGTATATACAATATAATTAAAATACGTATTGATATCACAGAAAAAATTTTAAAACACTAAAAACTTTGAGACTATAATTTTCCCATAAATGATCTATTTAAAATCAAAATAGCTTATGAAAAACTTGTTTTATAATACTCAGACTGAACAAAATAGTAACAATTACTTATTCCGATAAATTTTCGGAATTCAGAGAAATATTATGCTATCATTTGAAGTAAAAAAAAATAGCAATTTGCATTAAAATTAAATTATCGGTATAAAAAGACTAAACGGATCTGAATTAAACTTCAAATCGGTGCAGATTTTGTTTCCTTGATTTTCATCAGAAAAATAAATTTTGAAATCTCGCTAACAGATGGCGCTGTTACGAAGCTAAAAGAAAGATAGCATTCAAAAACCGAAGACAAACAGACTATTTTAATTATTTATACACTTATGTGAATACATTCTGTCAACAATATGTTGAATGCATATACCATTACGCTACAAACGTGTAGTATTAGCAAATAGTTTTAACATGGATGCGCCATCTGTTGGTAAGTTTTAAATATTTTTATTTCTAAGAGAAATCTTGACATACTAACACAATCTGTATTTGAAGTATCAGTGCTAATCAGTGCACCGTCAGTTCAACTCAAATCATCTTGTTTTTTTTTTTTTCTTAACAGGGACAAATAAATAATTTACAATTATATGTTATAAAAATATGATGCAATGCAACAATAATTGAGGACTAGAAATGGAAATAGAAAGTACTTCAAGATAGTCGAAAAATAAAAAACAGTCGCAACTTAGGGCATTCTCCATTTCACTCTTTCAGTTTTTGTAGCCAAAAACGTCTTACGTATTAATATAATTTCCTTACGTTTAGTTTTAAAATACCTTCTTAACATTATTCGTATTTTTAACGTAAATTATTCGTTATTTTTATCGTAAATTATTCGTTATTTTTATCTTAAATTATTCCTTATTTTTTTATCGAAAATTACTCGTTATTATCGTTGTTTTTATCGTAAATTATTCGTTATTATCGTTAATTTTATCATATTATTTTTATCGTAAGGGAGCAAAATACCGGGTGTCTTATCTTATCATTGAGCGCTTATGGCACTTAGGACATTCTCAGATGGCACTGCAGCACTGGTCACACCATGACTTCGCCGCATGGCACATTCAACCAGCGCAATTTTTCTACAAATTGATGAACTATTGCTACTAGAGTTCGCATTTTGAGCATACTCTGTCTCGTTGAACTTGGTTTTAAATTTTTTTCTTCAAAATACACAAAAAATAAAGTAAGTAAATAAAAAAAAGACATTTTCGGTATCTAAGTTATTTTACATTTCTAGTTCTCAATCATTTTGAGATTAATAATTATATTCGTAATATTTTAATAGAATACCATTGATTAAATACTCAAAAAATTATTTACAACAACAGCGGAAATTTCACAAAAACAACATATAAGAATGAATTTATAAATATTTTAAATGAAAGAAAAATAAAGTAAAAAAAAATTACAATTGAAAAATTTAATTTTAATTTAGCTCGAAAAAGTAAAACACATCAAGATTTAATATAGTAATATATTGTTATTATATTGAATTGTTTTGGTTATTATATTGCTATTGTACTGAATGTTAAACCTCAAAGCCTAAGCTCAAAAATTTAAAACGAAGCTCTTAAAAGTAATGTAAATAACAATATACACTTTTTATGACTCAGCAATAAACTCTTCTGTGAATAGTTAATAGAATAGTGAATAAATACATAACTTTGGAATTTTTCATAATTTAAAACCTCCATCTAAGTGAAATTTAGCAAAAAATTAGCTTTTGAATTAAAAATCTTATAAAAACGACTCCATGAATTGTACTTCTTTGATTAAAAGTTATTATTTTGCAGCCATTACACTGTACAACAGAAATTTTTTTTGTCAGTTGCTGTTTTATTTCTGAGTTTGTGCTACGAGTTTCAGATAAAAGTACAAAAGTCTGATAGGAGCAAATTTCATTCATATTTCCAGTTTTAAAACATTTGAATTGCTCAAGTAATGACCGCCCTTAACATATCTTTTCAATAATCCTTACGTTATGTATATTAGACATCGTTAAATATTGAAGACTGTTTTTCGAAAGTTCACATTAAATAAAGGTTTTTTGTTGATAATGTACTATTTTCATAACTGTTGTGAGTTTGCAACAGTTAGTCATTACTGTTAGGTCAAGTTAAGCTTCTTTTTAGCCAGCTTTCTTCATGCAAATTCTGAAAATGATGCCAAAATATGAATCATTAAAAAAAGAATTCTAATTTTGAGCAAAAATGATTGAGATTCATAAGAGCAATGAAAGAGTTAAAAATATAGAAAAACACTTTTTGATAATGAATAAACAGAATTAATTGTAGATGCATACTTCATAATACGTGTCAGGTTTAGAAAATTAATATTTTAGGACAAAAGAGGAACAAAATATTCATATTTTAGCAATTCATTATTGAGGCAATAAAAGCACGAGAGTGATTAAAATCATCATGATTATCATCAAAAAAAAAAAAATTTAAATAGTGCCTGAATGCAAAGTAGATTCATATCTTAATGGGCATATTAGAAGAAAATATTCAAAATTTGAACAATTATTATTAATATCAATAAGAGCAAAAAGGGATTAAAATCCTGGAAAATTAATTTTTTTGCTAATAACAGTACATTAATTTCTGCAAAATGCATTATGGGTGCATACGTTATAATGCACACGATATGCCGTTAATTAATAGTTAAGTGCAAAAAAGATCAAAATATTCAAATTTTGACCAAAAATTATTGAAGACAATAAGAGCAACGAAGAGATTAAAGACATCGAAACATTATTCAATTAACTTTTTTACTGACTTTGAAACACATTTAATCTCATTGGACAAATTAAATTATTTTATAATGATATGAGTACTTTCTTCGCTTTTCTCAATCTTAATAATGATTTGTAAAAGTTTTTAATTTTCTAGATTTTAATTTGTGGACTTTGCGTGTTTTTTTTTATTTTGTCTTTTACAAGAGTTCTAAGCGAGTTCTATTAATAGGGAGCATTTTTTGATAATCTATTTCGCAGCTTAAAAACAGTTCGTAACTGTTTATTTTACTGAAATGTTTTAACCACTCAGTGTACGAAATTACTTATTTATTAATAATATTAGCTCCTTATACTTAATTAAGTGGTTAATTAGTCATTGCCTCAGGGGTAAAGGCACTGAACTGACATTCGAACTGGGGTTCGATCCCCAATAGCAGCTTGAAGCCTATCCAGTTTCAGATAGACGAGCATCGGCTTCTCTGGAGAGTAAAGGCGGTCTGTGCGCAAGGCTGACTATATTTCCAAGAATGATATATTAGCCTCAGAAATAAATAGCTTTAACTTAATTGACCTCCTTCTCTGACTTTTCTTTGTGCTTAATTTGCTTTTTTTCTTCATGCAGGTCATTCTAACCCTTTTAAAGACAAATAAAAATTCTTAAAAGACAACAGTCTTGGTGGTTTTCAGAGAAGTTTGAATTCCCCGTCTTGTTTTTCTCTACTTAAAATGGTACAGGCAACTGACTCTTTGCTGACTAGTGTCATTTTTTTTTAAAGTTTAAAATGAATATTATATGAATCACGCTACTTATAGTATGTCAGAAAAAGATAGGAAGACTGGTATACGAGTTGCAGTTAAGTCTCTTTTTAACGAACATATATACAAAGTGAACCTCATCAGTCCAAGAAGAGACTTAACAGCATAATACCATATTCAAAAATGTTCTTTTTTTTTTCAAGATTTTTTTGTTGTTGTTATTTCTGTATAGAATAATACTATATACTCTTCCGAACTTGAAAATTTTGATGCATATGTATAATATAGAACAAGTTGAAGGAAAAAAAAATATGTAGATCACAATGTTGTTTTTCCAGCGAATTCGGATAGCAGAAGGACGTATTTACAGTGTTCAATGATACAGAGGTTAAGTGAACAGTTCAAGAGTCTCTTTCTCATTGGCTCTTCTGCTATCCAATCAATGACTAGATTCGGTTGAACACCACAGAAAAAAGAGTTTCTTCTTTTATTAAGATTTTCTTAAGTGCTTGGAATCACGACTTTTTCTGCTGCTTCCTGTAAAATAAATAATAATAAATAACTAAATATTTAGAAATGAAGGTTATTGACTTAAGGCATATATACCCAGAAAATATTATAAAAATAACACAATTTGTATTCAATGAAACAATGGTACAATTCTGTTTTCGAAGGTTTAGAAAAAACTAAAAACACAGCTCCCAGATTTGGTATTTGCAGGATTTCCATGGTAAGAGTTTTTAAAAATTTATGCCAGGAAAATAGTTAAGGTTAAAAAAAAAAAAAAAATTCTTGTAGAAAATTCATGTGACCAAACATGCATTTTTTCTCTTAGATTTCATGCTTTCAGTTCAAAAAGATTTCGACAGATGTCGCTGCAAGTAGTAAACCTTTAAACCAAAGAGAAACAATTCACAATCACATCGCGAGTTTCCGAAATAATTCAAGGAATGAAAATCACATTAAATCAGGCTCCTAGAATAGGTACTTGCAGGATGTCTATGATAAGAGTTTTTAAAACTTTATGCCAGGAAAATGGCTAAGGTTAAAAAAAATTTTTTTTTGAAAATTCATGTGACCGAGCCTGAATTTTTACTACCAAATTTGATGTTTATAGTTCAAAAAGATTTCGACAGATGTTGCTGCAAGTGGTAAACCAATAAATCAACGAAAAACAATTCACAATCACATCGCGAGTTTCCAAAATAATTTACGGAATGAAAATCACATTAGATTAGGCTCCTAGATTAGGTACTTGCAGGCTGTCCATGGTAAGAATTTTTAAAAATTTATGTCAGGAAAATGGTTCAGGTTAAAAAAAAAAAATTCTTGTAGAAAATTCATGTGACCGAACATGCAATTTTTTCTCCAAGATTTCATGTTTTCAGTTCAAAAAGATTTCGACAGATCGTGTTTCCATATTTTTGTTCAACTCTTGTATACTCAGTTACATTATTCAGAGATTGACTTTTTCTACCTCATCTATAATCCGAAAATGATGACCAGGCTATCGAATATGCTAGCAACTGACTCAGAGTGTTAAAAAGTCTTCACATAAGACATAAAATCGTTATCTCAATTTAGTTATTTATGTACGAAACTCCAGGCAGCAGGCATGTAAATGTTCAGGGTTGCTAAGATCTGGAATTTTTTTTTTAAAAGTGATAATTATAGTGTGAAATATAAATGTTTCAATTTATTCGCTTTTACCGAAAAAAATCAATTAAAATATGGGTGAGAAAATTATTAAGAAAACATCTGTAACGCTTAAGTGCAAGCTAAATCAAATCCCTGATGGTGGCATAATTTGGAAGAAAATATTTTTATACATAAATTTTTATATATAAATATATAGTTCGTTCAAAAGGAGTTGGCACTTGACTCCACCCCCTCAGACGCAGAGTTCATTTCAGCGCGGGAGCATGAGGAGAAACATCTCCGCTCTTGAAAATGAGACAACCCTTGATGAGCAATCAAACACAAACAGTGAATTCTTCTTCTGTCACTTACTTCGCTTTATCTTCTGCTGTTATACCTTTCGTTCTCCAGCTAATTAAATATATTTTAAATTTAAAAACTGCTGTTTTCCCAGCAAAATGTCTCAAGAAAGACAAACTCAAAAAAGATCATCAAATTTATGAAATAGTTAAAAATGCACACAAAGATTGTGAAATAAATATTTTGGTCATTCGATCACCAAATAGCAACCCTGTTCAGGATTGTTCACATCCTTCTCCTAAAATTCGTGAAATAGTATCGTCGGATACCATGTAATGAAGGCGGAGCTAAGTGCCAACTCCTGGTGAACGAACTATGCATGTTCGATAAGTGCTGGCATCTAATTTAAAATAAACTATCTCAAAACACATTACAAATAGTCTGATACTGCCATCTGGTGTATAGATTCGAGAAAGAAACATGATTCCGAGCATAAGAAATAGAATGTTTTAATCTTTTTGGAGCGTTACTTTTGAATACTTCAGGCAGGAAATATCACAGGTACGAAAATTAGAGGGCGAAATTTCAACTTGACAGTTTGATGGGAAGGAGAAGATAGAGGTTAAACATTTTTCAGTAACCTTGAGAAAAAAATTAGTGATAACCTATTTATTTTATTCCAAGTATTGGCAACCCTTATGTACTTATGATATCTACATCAACAAATTACATTAAATTAATAAAAATTTCTATTAATAAATGCAAATTTTATTTCACTAGAGGTTGATGCAATTTCATTAGTTTTGAAGTGAAAAAAATAAAAAAATAAAAAGAGTGATTGAGAGAGAGGGTGCTCACTAGGTATTTTTGGATTCGCTGCATGAGCATTTCATCATCCTCACCTGATGTGTTGTTGTGGGCGTCGTTCTCACTGAGTTTTACCCTCATTCCCCCGCCATCTTTGGATGACGTCGTCGTGTTGTTTTGACTTCGTTGCTCGGCATCCATCAACAAACCTGTTCACAGAAACACAAACAGGTCACATGAATTATGGATAAAATTGAAATTCGGTACATCATCATTGTCATATTTCATTTGACTTTAAAAACATGGATACACTATCCAGACCAGGGGTTTTCAACTTACATGAGGGGGGGGGGCGCAATTAAAAAACACCAGTCAAATGGCCAGCCTCGACTTTATCAAAATTTTATATAGGACTCTTCTATGTTTGAAGGAACATTAAATATTATTGTCGTATTTTTATCAAGTTGTATAAAACAAAAAGTATTGAATTACAAATTCAAATAAGAAGTAGATTTTTACCTGAGAAATAATTTTTTTGCACAGTTGGTATGTTAAATTTCACAGAAACAAAGAAATTAGTTTTTTTTTTAATCGAAAGAAAAATATTTTAAACCCATACAGATTTTTTACGAAAATTGTTCACAAAAAATGACAACTAATATATTTTAGTTTGCGGGTCACAAAAAAAGGATTCGCAGGCCAGATGTGGCCCGCGGGCCGTCAGTTGGTAATCACTGCTAGACTAAAGTAGCCGAACACCCAGTGGAATATATTAATATCATGTTAGCCTCCCTTTCGCATTAATGACAACCTACACTCGTCTGGAGAGACCACCAATTTTCGATTGATGGCCATGGGAATTGAATTTGATGCGTCAATCGTAGCAGAATTGAGGATTGTCGATATGGCTTACTATTTAATTTGCGTTCTAATTTGTCCCAAAGAAGATCCATGAAATTTTATTGGGGCTCTGAGAAGATTAGTCCTATGGCTCTGAAAAGACCAGTCCTATTTCTTCACACCATGGGTCAGATATTCTGCTGGAAGAAAAATGTGACTCCCCCAAAATATTGCCTTAGAGTTGGGGGAGCAGCACTATCACAATGTCGATATACATATCTAAGATCATGCTTCCAATTACAAAAAGTAAGGGACATAGAACAAACCACATCACCCAACCATGGTCAAGCATCCAACTATGGCCCCATTTTTAGGTCTCAATCTCTTAACGGCCATAGTAGGGATGTCACGTAGTTTTGTCAGGAGATATAGTGCTCGCTCCCAATGAGATAATCCAGGTTCAAATCAAAGCAATGGTTGGTCGCTACGAATTCTGCACTCGGGTAGCGCCGACCACAGTGATGGCGTAAAATATCCTAAGGGGTAGAAGGATCACGCGTTAGAGTCCCTTTACTCTCAGACTAACCGGGTGAGTTTTTCGTTGCTTTCCTCACAATGTAAAGCAAATACGGGTTGGTACCACGAAAAAATCCTGCAAGGAAGGCAAATTTCTCCCAATAATTAATCCAAGAGTTACCTTGTCTACTGGATTGTGTTCATAATTACAAGAATAAGGAGTTGGATAATAGTAGCAGGGGTCTGTTTAAAAAAAATTTGGGTCCGTTAACAGACCCTTCACAAAATATCTTTTCATAAAAACGGACCCTTCACAAAAGTATTTATCTTTTAATCGGACCCTTCACAAATTTGTTTATCTTCATTAGCGTTTTGTTAATCGAATAAACCCTTCCCAGGAAGGGGGGGGGAGAAAGACAGATGTAAACGAACTAAATTTTGTCTTCTGCAGACGCTTCTCCCTTTATTCGTCCGAAATGAATATTCTGAGTTCAGCAGTATAGGCTAAATATCAAATATTTGTATGCTGCATCTCTAGTTTAGTAGCAGCAATTGCTGTTTATTTTTTAAAATTTAATTTTTAAATTATAATTTTACAGTATTGAGCATAATCTTGCATGTCTTTGCAATTTAAAAACTCCTTGAAAAAGTTTTTTTTTTGCAATAACGGACCCTACTTGCACAAATTCACAAAATCAGGACCCTGGTTGAAAGAATGTGACTTAACGTTTATTTTATATTCACAAATTGCGAGCAATTTTTTCACAATTTTGCAACAACGGACCTTTCACAAAATGTCTGGACAGACCCCTGAGTAGCTGTAAACTCAAAATTGGGCCGGCTGTTCAACGAAGGTTATAAAACTAAACAAGATAAATTAATTTTGGAAATCAGTAAAAAATTAAGTAAAAAAAATACATTTTGTACAAAAAGCTATATTAATAAAGAAAAGGTACTGAGAACAATATAATACCACCATTCAAAATGGTTCTATGATTATTACCTGGACAGTGATAAATATGTCCATCTGACCTGGGAGGACGTGGTGTTCTTTTCACTGTTGCGTATAGAGGCTCCTCCTGCAACTAACAAAAATATAAATGAACAAAACATGAAAGTTTACCTTTGCCATGCCAGTCAACTTATACAATTTTTACGAGCGATATTTGTTAATGGTAGCAAATTTTATACGTTAATTATATTATTCTGAACTTGAAAAACTTGATTCAGCCCTTTAAGGAACACCAAATATCGGCTGCAAATTTCAGTCAGGTGACACATTAGCAACTGCGACTTTAGACATTGTATTCTTAATGAAGATGCATAACTTTATCTTTTTTTTCGATTAGAAGCAAGTGGTTTTACATTTCTATTGGTTTGTAACATTTTCGGAATAAGTGTTGCCAGTTTGGCAACACTCCGATGGAAAGGGTAAAAATTATTTTAACTACCGAAACATAAAAGAATTAAAAATGTAGAAACAAATAAATGAAAACAGAAAATAATGCCTTATATGTGTATAAGCTTGACCAAATGTAAAAAAATTACTAATAACTATAATGTTTTTACTTATACCCTTTCTCATCTACCACTATTATAGATCTTCAGCAAAAATCGTAAAAGCTATATTAACCTAATATAGCAAAAGCTAGCTTGTGCTATATTAGGTGGTCGCTATAGCACGTTTATCAGAGATAAAAGAAAAAAATCACCATTTATCCGAATGCAGAAAATAACAAAAGACATAATATTAACAAAAACGCTGGCATGATAAAGCTGGCGAAATAAAAGAAACTTAACGCTTTAATTTGCACAATTATTAATACTTATCAATTTACAAATCTTAATTTTCGTACGTTAAAATATTAATTAGAGATTCCTAATGTGCATGTTTTTTCCTTCATTTTAGTCAATGATTCTAAAAATACAGATTAAGGATAGATGATGCATACTTTTAACAAGGCTGCGTTCAAATTGGAATGATTTACTAATGCATGTATAATTTTAACAAGTCTGTGTACAAATTGGAATGATTTACTAATGCATGCATAATGATAACAAGACTGTGTACAAATTGGAATGATTTACTAACGTATGCATAATTTTAACAAGGCAGTGTACAAATTGGAATGATTTACTAATGCATGCATAATGATCACAAGGCTGTGTCCAAATTGGTATGATTTACTAATGTATGCATAATTTTAAGAAGGCTGTGTACAAATTGGAATGATTTACTACCTGATGATATCCAGAATCTGTTCCGTCTTCACTTCTACCTCTTCCAGCTAAATGAGTGGTTGCATAAGGCTGAGGATAGTAAGAAGAAACAGACGATGAGTGTTTTTTATTCTTTTCCATCTCTGACATCCTCATTGCTTCTGAGGCACTTCCTTTTCTTCCCTGGTAAGGGCCAGTACCTAGAAAACAACCATTCTCGCTTATCGTTTTCTCATTTTTGTAACATTGTGTTCCCATTATATTAAAAACAACATTTACTGTGCTTAATTTTTGAGAAAATCACACTCTTTGTTGTTCGCAGTGTTCCTGTTTTTATGAAAAACAACACTCATTATGCTCTTATTTATGGGAAAAACAACAATTATTGTGTTCCCATTTTCGTGTAAAACAACAATCATTGTTGTTGCCACAGTGTTCCCGTTGTTCAAAAAAAGAAAAAGAAAAAAAAAAGCACTCATTATGCTCTTAGTTTTGAGAAAAATAACACTCATTGTGTTTCTTTTTTTGTGAAAAATAACATTCATTGTGTTTTCATTTTTTGAGTACAACAAAACTCATTGCTGTTTCACCCATACAACTCATTGTTGTCATTTTTACTACTTCAACAAACTAGTATCCATCGAGAAAAAAAATCCTTTTAGCCTCAATTTAATATCGAGAATGAAAATTATGTTTTATTTAATTATTTTTTNTAGGTGATTGATAAATCACGTTTGTACTATATTAGGTGATCGATAAAGCACGTTTGTACTATATTAGGTGATCGCTATATCACGTTTTTACTATATTAGGTGATTGCTATATCACGTTTGTACTATATTAGGTGATCGATAAAGCACGTTTGTACTATATTAGGTGATCGCTATATCACGTTTTTACTATATTAGGTGATTGCTATATCACGTTTGTACTATATTAGGTGATCGATAAAGCACGTTTGTACTATATTAGGTGATCGCTATATCACGTTTTTACTATATTAGGTGATTGCTATATCACGTTTGTACTATATTAGGTGATCGATAAAGCACGTTTGTACTATATTAGGTGATCGCTATATCACGTTTTTACTATATTAGGTGATTGCTATATCACGTTTGTACTATATTAGGTGATCGATAAAGCACGTTTGTACTATATTAGGTGATCGCTATATCACGTTTTTACTATATTAGGTGATTGCTATATCACGTTTGTACTATATTAGGTGATCGATAAAGCACGTTTGTACTATATTAGGTGATCGCTATATCACGTTTTTACTATATTAGGTGATTGCTATATCACGTTTGTACTATATTAGGTGATCGATAAAGCACGTTTGTACTATATTAGGTGATCGCTATATCACGTTTTTACTATATTAGGTGATTGCTATATCACGTTTGTACTATATTAGGTGATCGATAAAGCACGTTTGTACTATATTAGGTGATCGCTATATCACGTTTTTACTATATTAGGTGATTGCTATATCACGTTTGTACTATATTAGGTGATCGATAAAGCACGTTTGTACTATATTAGGTGATCGCTATATCACGTTTTTACTATATTAGGTGATTGCTATATCACGTTTGTACTATATTAGGTGATCGATAAAGCACGTTTGTACTATATTAGGTGATCGCTATATCACGTTTTTACTATATTAGGTGATTGCTATATCACGTTTGTACTATATTAGGTGATCGATAAAGCACGTTTGTACTATATTAGGTGATCGCTATATCACGTTTTTACTATATTAGGTGATTGCTATATCACGTTTGTACTATATTAGGTGATCGATAAAGCACGTTTGTACTATATTAGGTGATCGCTATATCACGTTTTTACTATATTAGGTGATTGCTATATCACGTTTGTACTATATTAGGTGATCGATAAAGCACGTTTGTACTATATTAGGTGATCGCTATATCACGTTTTTACTATATTAGGTGATTGCTATATCACGTTTGTACTATATTAGGTGATCGATAAAGCACGTTTGTACTATATTAGGTGATCGCTATATCACGTTTTTACTATATTAGGTGATTGCTATATCACGTTTGTACTATATTAGGTGATCGATAAAGCACGTTTGTACTATATTAGGTGATCGCTATATCACGTTTTTACTATATTAGGTGATTGCTATATCACGTTTGTACTATATTAGGTGATCGATAAAGCACGTTTGTACTATATTAGGTGATCGCTATATCACGTTTTTACTATATTAGGTGATTGCTATATCACGTTTGTACTATATTAGGTGATCGATAAAGCACGTTTGTACTATATTAGGTGATCGCTATATCACGTTTTTACTATATTAGGTGATTGCTATATCACGTTTGTACTATATTAGGTGATCGATAAAGCACGTTTGTACTATATTAGGTGATCGCTATATCACGTTTTTACTATATTAGGTGATTGCTATATCACGTTTGTACTATATTAGGTGATCGATAAAGCACGTTTGTACTATATTAGGTGATCGCTATATCACGTTTTTACTATATTAGGTGATTGCTATATCACGTTTGTACTATATTAGGTGATCGATAAAGCACGTTTGTACTATATTAGGTGATCGCTATATCACGTTTTTACTATATTAGGTGATTGCTATATCACGTTTGTACTATATTAGGTGATCGATAAAGCACGTTTGTACTATATTAGGTGATCGCTATATCACGTTTTTACTATATTAGGTGATTGCTATATCACGTTTGTACTATATTAGGTGATCGATAAAGCACGTTTGTACTACATTAGGTGATCGCTAAAGCACGTTTGTACTATATTAGGTGATCGCTATATCACGCTTGTACTATATTGGATGATTGCTAAAGCCCGTTTGTACTATATTAGGTGATCACTGAAGCACGTCTGTACTATGTTAGCTGATCGCTAAAGCACGTTTGTACTATGTTAGGTGATCGCTAAAGCACGTCTATACTATATTAAGTGATCGCATATCACGTTTGTACTATATTAGGTGGTCGCTAAAGCATGTTTGTATTATATTAGGTTGTCGCTATAGCACGTTTGTACTATATTAGGTGATCGCTAAGGCACGTTTGTACTACATTAGGTGATCACTAAAGCATGTTTGTACTATTTTAGGTGATCGCTATAGCACGTTTGTATTATATTAGATTGTTGCTACAGTATGTTTACCAGAGATAGAAGAATTTATCACCATTTATCCGAATGCAGAAAATCAAAAGACATTATATTAACAAAAACGCTGGCATGATAACGCTGGCGAAATAAAAGAAACTTGAACGCTTTAATTTGCACAATTACTAATACTTATCAATTTACAAATCTTAATTTTCGTACGTTAAAGTATTAATTAGCGATTCTTAATGTGTATATTTTTTCCTTCATTTTTGCCAATGATTCTAAAAATGTAGATTAAAGATAGATGATGCATAATTTTAACAAGGTTGTGTACAAATTGGAAAGATTTACTAATGCATGCATAATTTTAACAAGGTTGTGTACAAATTGGAAAGATTTACTAATGCATGCATAATGATAACAAGACTGTGTACAAATTGGAATGATTTACTAATGCAAGAAACAATGATAACAATACTGTGTACAATTTGGAATGATTTACTAATGCATGCATGATTTTAACAAGGCTTTGCACAAATTGGAATGATTTACTAATGCACACATAATGACAACAAGACTGTGTACAAATTGGAATGATTTACTAATGCATGCATAATTTTAACAAGATTGTGTACAAATTGGAATGATTTACTAATGCATGCACAATTTTAACAAGGCTGTGTACAAATTGGAATGATTTACTACCTGATGATATCCAGAATCTGTTCCATCTTCACTTCGACCTCTTCCAGCTAAATGAGTGGTTGCATAAGGCTGAGGATAGTAAGAAGAAACAGACGATGAGTGTTTTTTATTCTTTTCCATCTCTGACATCCTCATTGCTTCCGAGGCACTTCCTTTTCTTCCCTGGTAAGGACCAGTACCTAGAAAGCAATCATTCTTGCTGATCGTTTTCTCTATTTTTGCAACATTGTGTTCCCATTTATATTAAAAACAACCTCTACTGTGTTTCGTTTTTTAGAATATCACACTCATTGTTGCTCGCAGTGTGAACAATAATTATTGTGTCGCATTTTTGTGTAAAACAATTTTTATTGTTGTTGCCATAGTTTTCAATTTTTCTAAAAAACAACACTCATTATGCTCTTATTTTTGAGAAAAACAACACGAATTGTGTTTCTATTTTTGTGAAAAATAACATTCATTGTGTTTTCATTTTTTTGTGGACAACAAAACTCATTGCTGTTTCACCCATACAACTCATTGTTGTCATTTTTACTACTTCAACAAACTAGTATCTATCGAGAAAAAAATCCTTTAGCCTTAATTTAATATCGAGAATGAAAATTATGTTTTTATAATTTTTTTTAAAAAATTAACGCAAAAGCTCAGAGTTCAAAAATGTTCAATTCGAGTTCAAAAAGCTCAATTCGAGATTCCCTGTGATTTTTCTATAATTTTTTTTCTAGATGTCGAAAACAGTTTAAAAAAATAAACTTATTTTTTTAAACCTCTTAACGCACACATTTAAAAAAAAGAAGCAAAAAATAATTTTTTATAAATATAAAACATATTTTAGAACCTTGTTTCAGCAAAAAAAAATTACAAAATGGTGTGCATGAAAATTACTGTAACATAAAATACCGACCCCGCACAAATTATGCACAGAGTGCACAGTTTGGCCTGTTTAGCGCGCTTGGATTAAGTCAAGCGCACACATTAAGTGGTTAAACCAAAAGTTTTTATCTTCCATTGTTTCTTTGTCAGAAAAGAGAATTTTCACTTAAATGAAAACAATATATACATAGTTTAAAACATATAGAAAAAAAATATAAATTCATTTATATTTTTCACCTTATTATTAACGAGAAATAATGCTAAACAAATAATTTTGCAAAGAATTTTAATAACACAGTCTCTTTAGTACAACACCCCCTTACAGCGACCCTTCCATTACCACAGGGAATCAAATACCGTTTGCTATTCTATAGACGCAATGTTACACAATATTTAGTATTCATTTTCATTCAATAGTTATACAATATACAATAGAATACAATTTATACATTATACAATTGTTAGTATCCATTAGAACGTCCGCTTTGAATAATTAATTCCAATATAGCTACCGAAATCTAGAAATTTAATTTGAAAAAAAAAACTTTTAAAGAAATTAAATTTTGAGATTAATTATTATTTTAATTTAATTTGGAAATTAATTAATTTAAACTCATTTTCTATGCTGTTTAGACACAATAAATGTAGAACATCATGAATCTCCTTTAAATGAAGGAAGAGTTGACTGCCTAAATTCTTAGACTAAATCTAATGTGGCCATATTTTTTGATCATTAACTTTCTAACTGTCTAACTTTCTTTTCATTCCTAATCTGTCTAACTTTCTTTTCATTCATAATCTGTCTGACTTTCTTTTCATACTTTTCTTGTTCAAAATTGTATTAATTCTGTTTGTAAAATGTCAGTCTCTTGTGTGGTTTATATTCGATTTAAAATATTTGGACATTGCATTTAGCTTGACGTATGTTATTTGACAAAAAAAAAAAAATAAATAAATAAAATAAAAAATAAATTAAATTTGAAAAAAAAAAGCATCGAATTAGCATATTATTTTTAATGCATTTTTGCGTCATTACTAATTTTTCTGTTACTTTCCAAATTCTTTTTAAAGTAAAGTATACGGTTTAATATAGGATAATATTTTTTAAAAACTATACTTTAATATCTACGGTATTTTTGTGCACTTCCGATGTAAAAATCTCACGTTACAACGTCCATTTACGCCTTTACTACGAAGGTCGTTCTATTGAGTGTAGCAGTAAAGTAATACAATAGTAGTAATGGGACACTCATAAATATGAACTTACCATAATGTTCAGATGAATGTTTCTTTCTGACAACAACGCACACAACACAGAGGACAACGCTAATGACCACACCCGAAACAGCCACCGGAAGTATGATGGTCATGTCGAGGTAGAAGGGGGCTGTTACTTTATTTACAACTGTTTTCGGAGTAACTGCATCTGAAAAATTATAAATGTTTCATGAGTAGTTGAAAAAAAAAGAAACTGCAATTACATTTTCGTGATAAGGACGTGTATAGCACCTGCAATGAAAATTAAGTGGTCTATTACGACCACCTAAGTAGTCAGTTAGTGGTCCGAAAATTTAATATGGTAGAAGGACTTAAGAGAAAAACCGAACTTTACAATTACATACACTGGTGCAAGAAAGCAAGAGAATTTGCAGACTTGGTCGATTATCTCTAGAACTACTGGACCGATTTTAATGAAATTTGACATACATTGATACAATACAAAACAAATATTCATTCAACAAATGTAATACACAAGCATGATCGTGCTTAACACTCGTTGTGGTCGGAAGGTATAAAATTGCCACAGGACAATTCAGACCAATTGCCACAGGAAATGATTAACTGCCTTATTTCAAGTATGAAATCAGGCTGCAAGTCCTGTATATTTGTAAGAGTTGCGTAAGAGTATGCAGGTGGCACTGTTGTGAATATCTCGCCAATTGTGAGGCCCCGCGCCACACGTGTCTCTCGCCAATTGTTTTGTTTTTGAATGTGTGCTTCTTTCTTTGTTGTTGTGAAGTTGTTGTCTATTTCTCGAATCTCGAGATGTGTGAGTTAGCATTCTTGTGATAATGCATAAAATAAAGGGAGGTTACAGTTCAACAGTTGTGTGTGAACTTTATGAGTTTAACATATTATTAATTCGAACCAGCGCAAAGAACCATGACCCCCTATTAACCCATTTTTTCGTCTGTTCTGCAACCGCTGTTTCATACCTTTAGACTCCAACGAGCGCTGCTCTTGAGTTGTGTGTATTGGAATTGTTGAATGGTTATTTGTTATATCAATGTATGTACACACCAAATTTCATTAAAATCGGTTTAATAGTTCTTGAGATAATCGACCAAGTCTGCAAATTCTCTTGATTTCTTACACCAGCATATTTCATGTTATGGAACTCATCAAAAATTATTAATTGCAATCTATTACACCCTAAATCTAATTAAGTTCATTGCGCCATAATGATTGAAGATTAGTGTTTATTAAAGTTAAATGAAAAAAAGCTAAAATAATATTAGTAAATAAATTTAATGTAGTGATGAAGCCAAATAAATAAATAAATGAAGTAAGAACAAAATATCAGATTGAAATTTAATTATCTAAACTTTTAAATAAAGTCAATTCTAAAAGAGCAAAACATATTATTTCATTGATGAATAATTATACTGTCAGTATACAGCAGAACATGTAAATTTGAAATTTCAACACTTAAATTTAAAATTTTTTGTACCAGACACTGAATACCATGCATTTGAAATTTGAATACCATGAACGCATTTACCATACGCATTTGAATTCCATAACATAGAATAATAAAATTAGTACAAATGTTTTTTTGAAGAGCAGGGAATTCGATGCAAATTTTTTTTTTTTCATTACTATTTTTAAAATTACTAACATATTTCAAGCCGACACTTTCGTCAGCCATGCGTATGATTTTAGCGACATATGTAGAACAATTGGCGACAATCCTCGCCATGTCGCCATATTAGAGTGGACCCTGGTAATTGGAAGGAGGATATAGTAATATAAGGAGAGTCGGCTGTTCCTATTCAGAAATCGTTTAAGACGACCAAATTTTTGATGCTTTCTCTCAAAACTTCTAGACTGATTTTCAAAAAACTTTATTTTGAATTCTGAACTTTTCCTTTAAAATTCGGAAGATTTGACGTTAAAATTCAAATTAAGTAAGAATTGTTTTTGTTAAAAATTGATATTAAACGTCAAAAACAAGTCTATGGTTTGTAATAACCTACAAGTAAGGTTATTAAAAAAATTACGACTAAATACCTTACAGTTAAAAAAATACGGCTAAAATTCTACGGCAAAAAACGTTTTTTAAAATTTTTTTTTTTTAAAAATACAAGGTTATTAATTACAAGTAACAGAATCCTTGTAGTAATTGGCGATTATCATCAATAATTTACTTCTGGTAAAATGCGATAACAAGTAATTGATCACTGGTGGTAAAATTTATCCAAATAGGACACATTACAGCATACTTTTGCCTTAAAAATATACATTTCTTACCCACATGCTCTTGAATTCAAGAGTTAATTCTCAACAATTAAATAACAACGTATTTACAGTATTTACCTAAAGTATTAAGCGTAGAAAAGGTGTATTCAGCGTCCGTTGTACCAGCTTTATTTGTGGCAGATATGTGAATCTGATACCATGATCCAGGAGATAGGCCGACCAAATCAACTCTCATATTGTCCGAAGGCAGTGGTCCGTCGTTGAGAACTGTCCACTCCATATCCTGCTGCTGACGGTAGCGAACCTTGAACGACTTGATGGGACAACCTCCATCGTGCCACGACACCAGATTCATTGTTGCTGCCGTCATATTCGTGCTCAGAATGGATTGCTTATCCGGGGCTAATGGAGCTAGAATATAAAGTTTAAACTGAATAATTTATTTAAAAAGAGTATAAATAGTTGTTTTACAGTTTAGACGATTTTATGAACGGCACTTAATTTGCTTAAGTTTTAGAAAACGCCAACAACTTAAAATACTATATTCACTACAAAAGCCAATTTGTAACTAAATATTATGTTTGAGCCGCAATGGCTCAGGGGATAGAGCATTCGCCTTCCAATGAGGTGAACCGGGTTCGAATCCCAGTCGATACGAATTCCGCATCCAGCATTGTACCGACCACAGTGCTGACGTGAAATATCCTCAGTGGTAGACGGATCATTCCCCTTGCCGTTAGGCTAACCGTGGGAGGTTCTCGTGGTCTTCCTCTCCATGCAACGTAAATGCGGGTTAGCTCTATCAAAAAAGTCCTCCACGAAGGCAAATTTCTCCTAATACTCGATCCAGGAGTTGCAATGTCTTCTGGATTGGGTTCAAAATTACAAGGCTACGGAGTTGGATATTAGTAGTCGTAAACCCATAAAATTGGGTCGGCTGTAAAACAACGGTTATAAAAAAAATAAAAATAATGCTAATGGCGAGAGGAAAAGTATGGAGAGAAGAGATATCTTGAGGCACTTTACTAAGAACATTATAGGTATGCAACATGTATTATGACAACATTATATCGATAGGAAAGTTAAAAAAAAAAAGAACTGGAGACCAATTATATTATGCTCACCTCCACCTTCTGTTTTGATGACCAAAATTTCTCCGGGTTCACCTTTTCCTGCAGAATTGTATGCCAAGAGGAAAAAATGATATTTAGTGCCACATTCTAAGCCATGAACTAAGTAGTTACGCTGATCTCCCGCGATGTTGGACTCCACCCAATCATTGCCATCCTCATGCTTATGGTGAAGCACGTAACCTGCACAAAATAGAACATTATAACAAAATTCTAAGAATAAATATAATTTCTGAAATAGTGTTTAAAAAGGAAATAATTCTGATTTTATTATTTCTAATTGAACATGGACAAGCCAAACTCGCCAGTCATTACCCCGGCAAATTAGGTTAGAAATGTGCGCCTTTCGTTTGACAAGAGAGCACCACCAAGGTGAAAGTACATCATGGTTCAGAAATCCTCGTTTAGATGGAAGCACTACTCATTCGTGAGGCCACATCCTTAATTAAGACATGTATCTGAAGAGGAAGGAAAATTTCTCCAGATCTCTGTATCCCTAGTACTACTCAGTGACTGACCACAGGACCTCCGGATCGGAGCTCGATTCTCGAACCACTGGTTAGCACGGCTTATTCTGATTCGTCAGAGGTCTATCTCTAATCGATCGAACACAACAGTTAAAGGGGTTAAGACGGAGAGGGAAAAATTTAAATATTCTTTAAATTCTCTTTATTTAATCTTTAAAAATAAGCTGATAGTGAATTTTTACTCTATTCAGCTGTATCTTTTGGTGCATGTAAAATACAAGGTTGCCCCCATCACAATTTTATATATAAATTGTGTGGAATTTTATAATCTATTTTAATTTTTACTGATAAAATTTTCTTAATACAGTTTTGCTATCAGCCGTTTCTGAAAGGTTGTTAAAAATATATATTTGTCTGAGCTTAGATTTTTTTATTAATATCTTTGTTTTTGTGCAATTTACGTTATAAGAATTTTTTTATCATTATTCAAATCGGTTTTTATTGGTTTAAACTGTACTGAAATTGAATTTTAAATAAAATCTAAAAACTGATAAATGTGTAGTTTTAAACGACTGGCTTGAAATTAGTGGCTGGATTTATCATAATTACACTGACAGGCCCAGTCCTGAGACCCCCTAAACGTTCCAAAGAATTTCTTTTTGTGTTTTTCCTTAATAATTGTCTAATCGAACTATGTGCTAACAAAGTATAATAAAAATAAGCTCAAATTTACTAATTTATCGTAATTTACTCATAATATAAATAATTTAAACACACTTCATTAATAAACAATAAGTAAATTTTGTTTGAAGTTACAAACAGGGGGCTCTTAACATTTCCATGCAAGCCCCCCCCTCCCCCACATTTCTAGATCAAGTCACGTTCAAAATTATGTATAGCATATTTTCGTTGCTTTGTTTGTAAGTTTGCGAAAAATTAAATAGAAGTTTTTAAAACTATCAAGTATTTTTAAACTAATACCCCTTATTTCAGACAATTTTGTAAGGTATCGTGCTGTCGAAATGGAATTTAGGAAATCGTGCTATGAGATTTTTTTAAATTTATTTAATTAAAAAAAATAATTAAACTGAGATGATTTTAATTTAATAATCGTAAGTACTTAAATAAAAATTTATTATATACATTATAAGTTACATTAAGAAAAGAACTTATGTAGGGATAAAGAAAATTTTTAAGCATAAAAAATATTTTGTTTTTCCAATTTTTCAATTCCAATTAAAAAAGTGAATAAAAAATGAGATAATTTTAATTTAATAGTCATAATGAAATAAATTAATAATTTATTATTTAAGAAATAATAGATGAACTCATATTGTGATAAAAATAAAATTCTTATGAAAAAGAATATATAATTTTTCTGATTTTTTATTTTTTCCGTGTATTTCTAAAATATTTTAGTTCTTTTTTGATGATTTTACTTTCAATCTTTTTAAGCTGAAATATAAATGCACCTTACGGATTATATTTTAAGACTTTAATTTATTCTTTTTAATCATGGTGCTGCCATCTTTTATTCAAAATGTAAAACACTTTCATTTCAAAAACTGAAAATAAGTTTGGTGCTGCCATCTCACGCCCTAGTCTAGAAACTTTAAGAATATCTAGTTTTATATACTACGAAATAAATAAGATGGCAGCTAAATTTTGTTGCTTCTGTACTTGTCACAGCAGCAAATAATAGATTTTGATTTTTTGCTCGCTCTTAAAACATCAAAACCCGAAATGAAACTGGAAAAAAAATCTCGTTGTAAACTGCTAAAATACTTCATTTTGATGAATTCAAAATGAATTGTTAAAAATTGTGCAAAACATGACCAAACAAAACATTTTATCTATTTTAATTCATTTCTCTTTTGCACGTGGAATTTGATCTAAAGAATTATTACTTGTGAGTATTATATTTAATTCAAATTATGGGTATTTTAGAATGCGACAATGTGATACATGTATTTTAGAATGTGATAATTTGAATGGTGTAAAAGTATTAAATATTAATAATGAGCATGTTATAGACAACTTTATTCCTATGTTATTCTACACTGCAAAAAAAGTATGGTTAAAACTACCAGAATATTGTAAAATTTACTGTATTCCTGAATATATGGGAAAACCGAAAAAGTTGGGAATTTTTATCGACGATCTTTGGTAATGATTTTGCTAAAATAAACATTAAAATATGGTTCTATAAAAACTGATGAAATTTGGTAATTTTGTTAAAATTTATTAATTTATCATTACACCTTAGAGCATGGCAAAAAAACCATTTTTTTCTGGCTACATCTACTTTTGAGTTTCGCATTTTTTTCTAAATGTGTGGTACCAAGAATTATAATTTTGTAAAATAGAATTTCTAATAAGCCGTTATCATATAAACGAAAAAATTATGAAATGAATGGTTTAAATACCATATATTTTGGTTTCATTTACCAGAATTAGTTTTTTTAAACCAGGAATTTCATTATTCCACAATGCGGTGTATTAGAATTTCTTTCTCCGTACAATATTTTGTACAATATTTCCGTACAATAACGTGATATTTTTGATCCAGAACGCAGAAATTAAGCCTCTCATAAACTGTCTAGGGTTGGGATACGGTTTGAAAACTGTTGTTTAAGAGCCTGTTTAAGAACTGATTGTTGTCGCTTTAAAACCCTCTGGGTTAATACAAATCATATCAATATGAAATTAAGATTAGGTTAGAAGATGTAATTTGAATGCAACAGGTAGATTATATGTTACGACGTAGTTCTCAGAGCTATTTGATAAAAATGCGCAATTCAAAAAAATCCAGCTGCAATCAATTTGTACAAGCATCTGTTCAAATAAAGAAAGAAAACACCAGCATTCATCATATAATGAAAAGCAAATAAAAAATAACAATCTAATTTTACAAAAGAAGAAAAATCTAAAAAATTTCTTCATAAAAATATATAAAAATTAAAATATCATCATCATCATCATCATCATATTTGGCCAGACACCCCAATGTGGGCCAATGCCTTCCTCTGACGATTTTTCCATAATTTCTTCCGATTTATCTTTGATCTCCAAATCTTTTCATTAATTACAAGAAAATCAGACTCCACCGAGTCAGCGTATCTAAACCGCGACCTTCCCCGATTTTTTGCTCCAGTGGGTTTAAAAAAGCAGCATCTTTTTTATTGTATTGTCATCACTTATTCGAATCACGTGGGCCATCCAATTCATTCTATTTATTTTTGTGTATTTTATAATATCGGGTCTTGTACAGTTAAAAGTTAAATCCCCTTCTCCAGTTATTGTTTTTCCGCAAAATCTTTCTCTCAAATATTGCGATACAATTTTCCTCCAGCTTTGTCATTATCCAAGCCTCAGATGCAAAATTAAAATATAAATAAAAATATATTTTCATTGGTAAATATAAAAAATATGATAGAACTACAAAAAGATACAAAAGCTATGAAAACTTATAAACTTATAACTTACCTTTCGTTTGAAAGGTAAGTTATTAAAATGATTAAAAATTATATCTTTGGATTGAATATTCCAATTAGGATTAAGTATTGTATTATACAAATACAGTTATGAAAATCTACAAGGAAAAATTTATTATAAATATTTTCATCAAAATTAATTTTATTGAAGAACGTTCAGGTACAAAAATGAAAAATATGAAATGAATGAATAAGATTTATTAACCTGATACTGGATTTCCTTTATCATAATTTGGATCCCATGCAAGATGAATCGATGACGTTGTTTTGTCCATTACCGTTAATGGCGGAGTCAAAGGTGGGTCTGCAATAATAATTGAAAAAATATATAATAAAATGTGTTATACGTATCATTCATATTAATATGATTGAGAATAAAGATGGTTTTTAATCAAAATGCAGGTTAAAATAGCTTTTTTAATTCACTTAAAAAATCAAAATTTATTTTGTATTTTGGGATTGCATTGTGCACAGTAATAAACTTGATAGAATGCATTACAGCTTTTGATTTAATGTTCGTATTTTCATAGACTGCGCTGGAGTGATAATCGTATGCATGCTAATCAAATAATAATACACGCTAATCAATTAATACAGACTATAGTTTAATTTACTAAAATATTTATTAAAAAATTATATGGCTAATTTCGTTCAAGTCTTTGAAATTTTCATTCAAAAGTAATATACAATTCAAATGGATTTGTTATTATATTCAAATTGTATAAGGGGAAATAATAAATAATCTTAAAAAATTATACTTTGTATGAATTTTTTTTTGATGCACGAGTTTATATGTACAATTTATTCGATATGCATAAATGGTTCAAGAGCATATAGTTCAAAAAGATATACTTGGAAAAAACAACAAGAAGATATATACTTGAGCAACCCAAATCGGACGATGAACAAGCATGTTTATTTGGAGGAAATATATTTTTGTGCTTGATTTTTGAGTCTTAAAATATGGACTGTACAAAGTAACTAGCTGATTTAAGGTTAGCCCCTTAAACCAAAAATATTTAATCTCAGTACAGTAAGGAGCACAAAAAAAAAGAGAAATTGAAAATTTTAAAAATTTTCTTTCTGGTGATGTTTGTCTCCCTTTTAATTCTAGCATAAATATGCATAAAATGAAGTTATAAGGGAACAAAGCATTTGAACATATTTGCAACTCAAAATTTTCAGCTTAAAAATATATTTCGTTTCAAAAATTTGATTTGAGTAGAACTATCATCAAGCAAGAAAGAGATAGAATGAAACTTTTATAAGCGTGGGTAATCAGGGTTAATCTTGACGGAGATTTTAATATAAATATGAATACTGAAGAAAAAAGGTGACGTCTTGAAACACGTACATAAGCAGGATATGAAAACCAATCCGACGACAAACATCAGTTGAGACAGTTTTTGCAACCCATGATTTGAAATGTTGTGACGTTTAACGGAGTCAAACCAGAAAACAAAAAGCATTTAATCAATGGGTAACCAGTGATAGTAATAGAGCGATCACATTTTTTTATTACTAATTTCTTAGTTGCATGCACGATGAAGGAAATTAAAATATAATAAAATAAGAATAGAAATCTTTCAAAATGAGCAAGAAAATTTATTTGACAGAAAATAAATTCTTATTCTTCTTCGTATAGTTTGTATAAATACTTTGCAAGCGTTATAGAAATTAGCGTAAAAATTTTTACAAGGAAGAAAGATAATTTGAAATCAAATGCATAATTTCAAAAGATACTTTTAGTTGATTTAAAGATTCAATACAATCTATAAGTGATGCTATTTTAAGAAAAAACAATGTCCATTCATTGAATTTTTTTCGTTAATTTTGTTTCATTAAGCCGTTATGACAATAAAAATGAATCATGTTACAAATTTCAAAGTCTAGGAAACAGTGTTACAAAGAATTGCAAATTCAGCACTATTAGACAAATAAATCAAGAAGCTTATCACCGTTCCGATAAGTGAGGAAATTACCAGGATGCGAACACCCTGATTAACTTCCCTTCAGTGAGTGAACCTTTCAGTCGGATTTTCCGTTGCAACTCATAAAAATTCCAATCAACGTTCGATTATTAAGTAATAGAAAATAATTCTGATGTGCACCCTGATGAGAAAGCTAACAGCTTTCCGTCGTATTAGCAGGTCTTTTAGGCAAGCATTAAATTAAACGAAGATAAACCTACGCTATATACTTTAAAAGATTAGTAATTAATAGCTTTTAAAATGTCATTCAGTCTCTGGCCAAATTATTCGACGCACTGTAAGATTCTATGTAATATTTTAATTATCAGGTGATACTCTATACAGCTTTATTGTTTTTACGTGACTAAAACCGGTTTGCTCTTGTTGACGTTAGTGTATCAATTGATTAAATTGGACGACATATGATATAAATTTGATGACAGGATGAATTGGACGATATATTATATAAATATAAAATATTTACTACATCAAGCATTATATCAGTACATTTGTATTTATTTTTAACGGATTGCATTACAATGTTAACCATTTGATACACTAACGTGAACAAATACAAACCGGTTTCAGTCGTGTAGAAACAATAAAGCTGTATAGTAGTATCACCTGACAATTAAGATTTTACATAGAATCTTATAGTGCGTCCAATAATTTGGACAAGGACTGTAGAATTGACAGTCAAAACTGAAGTTGGTCTACGAAAATATTTCAAAAAACCAGTTTTACAACTCTGTACTGTAAAACCATTATTTTTGAAAGTAACACATTTCTACAAATTTAATTTTTTACTAATGTAATGGTGCAATTTTTAAAAGCGATCATTTAGTCACTATTAACAAGTGCACAGGATATGTTCAACTTAATTTCCTACCATTCTCCAACGTCTGAACGACGACGTCATCCGATGGTGGACCGGCACCTTTTGAATTGAACGCCTGCACCACCACGCTGTACTTGGTATTTCTTCTAAGCCCAGTCACGTGACATTCCTCCTTGAAGCCCTCGCCGATTTCTAGTGTCTTGTATACAAAGGTGTCGGGAGTGTCGGCGATCTTGTAACCGACGTAATATCCTTTCAGTAAACCATGCTGCAGTTCTGTTGTGGGTGGCTACACATTAAAAATGAATTAATTAGAGCATGTTAGAGTAACCAATGTCAAAAAATAAAAGGGTTCGTAAATACTAAAAAAACTAACGAATGTGAGATTGAAAATTAACAATGTGATTTTGCTCAGCAAACTTCTTTGATTAGTAAGTGAGAAATACCAAAACTAACATACATAGCATTGAAAATACACCAATATTAATGTATATATATATATATATATATGTATACATATATGTTACTGTGAATGATCGGTGTTACTGTGAATGAATAACACATAGGACTAAAATTTTTTAAAAAAAAAGATTCATGCGATAAATGCTTCTTTGAGAAAGCCCATTTTTAATGATACATCAGTACTATTGATAAAGTTTCATCATCATACAGATGATACAGCAGTAATACTGATGACGGTGAGCGAAGGAAAGTGCTATTCTCTGAAAGACGGTTTTAAATGATTCCTCACTAATACTGATGCTTTTTGCAGAACGATGTGCGAAAAATGTTTAAAAAAATTGATGGTTGAAGCGCTTTTGGAACACTAGTTTTTATTTAGAATATTATTTCTTATCATTTCTTCAATAATAAGGATGAATTTAATAGATGACGTGTAAAAATAAGTTACAAAAGGCATAAATGTAAAAACTTTTTTTTTTGTAGATAACTAATTTTAATGATACATCAATAAAATTGATGAAATTAGCAAAGTGATGCGAGAGTGAGAAAAGTTTGAAGAGATACTTGTTATAAATGTTTTTCTTAGAAAGACCATTTTAATGAGTCATCAATAATATTGATGATTTTGGCAAATCAAAGTTTGAAAATAAGTTTAAAAAGATACTAAAAGGAAATGCTTCACACTGAAATATTATTTTTTAATGATTCATCGGTCATACTGATAGATTTATAAGAACGACGAGCGAATTTTTTTAAAAGGTTTTATGTTGAAAATGCTTCTTTCTGAAAGATGGTTTTTAATGATTCATCAGTAATACTGATCTTCTTAGCTGAACGATATGCGAAAAAACTTTTAAAAAATTACATTATTGGAATCGTCATTTATTTGGAGTATCATAAATTATCAGTTGGAGTATCATTTTTTAAAAAGTATAAGTGGGAAATTCTCTTCTCTGAGAGAACTATTTTCAATGACACAACAGTAAAATTGATGAAATTAGCAAAACCATGTGAGTGTAAAAGAAGTTTTAAAAGATACTTATTAGAAATGCTTGTCGTAGAAAGACCAATTTTAATGAGTCATCAATAATAATAATGATTTTAGCAAATTGAAGCATGAAAAATGTTTTTCAGGTTTGAAGTATGAAAAATGTATTAGTATGAGTATGAGTTATGTATCGAATGTATGAATTGAATTATGTATAGAATGTATGAATTAAGTATGAATTATGCATTGAAGTATGAAAAATGTGTCCTTCTTTAAAAAAAAAACATTTTTGTTGATTCCTCAGTGATATTGATGATTTCATTAGAAAAAAGACTTACAAATGTGCTTACCCATAAGAAATTTCTCTCTTTTTAAAATTTTTTATTTTAATGATTCATCAGTAATAATAATTAGTTTGAAACAACGATGAATGACATTTGTTGGAAGAACTTCAGATTATTGTCGAGAATAATAGTAGCTTGCTATTTTAGTTATACATATATTTATAAATTTCCATTCCTAGTTATGATAAATCTCTCTAACGATAATAAAGTGGCTTTAATATTTACTCATATTGAAACATATTATAAACTTGGAGAGTGCATTTGGTCACTCCCGACTTATTAATGAAACAATTAAACTGATTATTTACAGACCATATATATATTCCGACTTCCACTCCACTAATAAACTACTCACTAAGTTAATATATTACAGAAGCTCATAAAAGCTAGTTTATTCAGTTTATTTAGATGTAAATGCAAATTTCGGACTATTTCAACCTTAATTAACTGTTTAAGTGCAGTTGGCATTAAAGCAGTTTTACTCACATGGAAATATATATAACTTGATTGTCATAGTCACGTTAATATATTAAACTTAAAAAGCTGATTTGAATGTATGTAAAAGTTATACATTTTAAACGGAATAAACTCAGATTTAAAAACTAATTTTGATGTACCTAAAATTTGGAAAAGGTATGGTGCACAAATATAAAAAACCTCTACTATTTTAATTCGATAAGAGGTAACTCACTAAAAATTGAAAAAATAAGTAGCTCAAATAGTAAGATAATTGTAAAAAACGATTTTTTTTATTTACAAAAAATAAAATATTCTTGGGAAAAAATTATTGCAGGCCCTTTTCTCAAAGCACAAAAAGTGCTAATTTCATTAAATTAAATAAATTATCCCCAGAAGCTGAGGCGATATTTTTATCTTATAATATAACCGTCGTTGAATAATCGACTCAATTTTTTGGATTTACGATTACTAATGTTCAACTCCATAGCCTTGTAATTTTGAACTCAATCCAGAAGACAAGGGAACTCCTGGAACAAGTATTGGGAGAAATTTGCCTTCGTGGAGGAACTTTTGATGGAGCTAACCCGCATTTGCATTGCATGGAGAGGAAAATCCCGGAAACCTCCTACAGTTAGCCTGAGGGCAAAGGGACTCTTACCCATGATCCGCCTACCACTGAGGATATTTAACGTTAGCACTGTAGTCGGTGCAAGCCGGATGAGGATTCGTTTCGACCAGCCATCGCTGGGGATTCGAACCCGGTTCACCTTTAAAATTAAAATTATCATTTCAAAATTTAAATTATTGTTTTTCTTTAAGTCTAATAAAGAACCTTAAAGAAATATAAAAAAAAATGTTTGTAAATAATTGCTCGAGTGAAAAGTAAATTTATGAAAAATTTTATGATTTATGTATTGTACTTGAGATCGTCGTTTTTCTTTCCCCATCTATTTATAACACCTCAAATATACTTATTCAGATTGTAAAAAGAGCCTTAATGTATTCAATATATATGTTTTTTATTCCAATGCCTGTCTGGGGAATGGCCTACGACATACAGGCATCTGATTTGTTGGCCATTTTTTCAGGGGCACCATATTGGGTGGGCGAACGTTGCTCCCACAGTAAGGACAGATAGCACAGAGAAGGAAAGAACATCCATGCCTTGACCGGGATTCGAACCCAGAACCTTTCTGATGCAACGGCAGTTCCCTAATCCCTACACAGGCCGGTCGGCTATGTATTTAATATATTTATTATTATTATTCATATTGTAGAGACCGACGATTTTTTCATCGATTCATAACACCTTCAATATATTTATTTCGGTTGCAAAAACAGCCTTCATATATTTATTATTATTATTCATGTTGCATAGGGCAACGTTTCCTTCATCTACTTATAACACCTCAAATATATTAATTTCGGTTGTAAAAAAAAGCCTTAATATATTTATTATTATTAATCATCTTGTATAGATCAACGTTTCTTTCATCGATTTATAACACCTCAAATATATTTATTTCGGTTGTAAAAACAGCCTTAATATATTTAATATATTTATTATTATTATTCATGTTGTATAGATCAACGTTTCTTTCATCTATTTATAACATCTCAAATATATTTATTTTGGTTGTAAAAACAGCCCTAATACATTTATTATATTTATTTTTATTATTCATGTTGTATATATCAACGTTTCTTTCATCTATTTATAACATCTCAAATATATTTATTTTGGTTGTAAAAACAGCCTTAATACATTTAATGTATTTATTATTATTATTCATGTTGTATATATCAACGTTTCATTCATCTATTTATAACACTTTTCGGTTGTAAAAACAGCCTTAATATATTTATAATTATTATTCATGCTGTAGAGACCGAAGATTTTTTCATCTATTTATAACACCTCAAATATATTACTTAGATTCTAAAAAACTTATTTTAAAAGTAAGACTACAATTTATCTATTCTTAATCGAAATAAAAAAAACATTCCATAACATTTAAATCGAATTTTTAAAGGAATAATTAAAACCATCTATTTAATTATCGTAAAAAATAAACAAAAAAAAATTAAATTATATTTTAATCAGGTTTGATTTATCAATATGTCAGTCGAGAGCCATTAAAATAAATTATTGGCATTAAATAAAATTAAGATAACCGACTATTTCCGAATTCCTCGTTGATAAAAAAGCTTAACTTATTTTTCGTGACCAATATATAACGCTTTTTTGTTGCAGCTTCATTTGCCTCAACGTGTTTATTTATTTATTTTTTTATCGAGTTTCGAGCAAAAATAATTGAGCACTTACATGCAACAAAAAGGCATTAGTGAAAAATAAGTTTTTAAAAGAAATAAAAATCAATTAAAAGTAATTTTCTTTAAAAATCATTTTTCTTTTCGGTCCTATTAATAGGGAGTGAAACTATTTTTGCTTAAGAGTTGAAAATTATGATTGTTGAAATACTTTTAAATTGTGATTAATAAATCGATTAAAATGTAGTTGCAAGGTTGAAAGTATAAAAATCTTTTTAAGAAGCAATTTTAAATCACTTTTAGGAGGTTTTTTGTTGAATTTATTTTTCTAAATAAATAAATGAGAGCTTTTTCTTTTAAAAAAAAAATGCTAGTCGTTAAAAATATGAGGATTACGTATTTACATAGTTAAAATAAATATATATTAAAAGAATAAAACACTTTTTATAAAATAAATCCAAAATATTTTTTGTGAAATTTTTTATCTTATAAAAAAGTTCAAAAAGCATCAAGCGCACATTTAATTACTTCTTTTTATATTGAATTTTATCTTACTTTATTTTTTATTTTATATAATCGTCATTAAACAGTCGACCAAATTTTGAATTTACGACTGCCAATGCTTAACTCCGCAGCCTTGTAATTTGGAACCCAATCCAGAACTCCTGGATCAAGTATTGGGAGAAATTTGCCTTCTTTGAAAATTCTTTTGATAGAACTAACCCACATTTGCGTTACACGGTGAGAAAAACCACGAAAACCTCCCAATGGTCAGCCTAACGGCACGGACACGTCAACCATGGAGAATATTTTACGTCAGTACTGTGGTCGGTGCGAGTCGAGTGCGGAATTCGTATCGACTAGTCATTGCTGTGGTTCGAACTCAGGTCACCTTATTTACAGGAAGGAGCTCTATCCCCTGAGCCACTATTGCTCTAAATGTTGAACTGTCTATTTTTTACTAATACGAAGCATATTTTCATGTAACGAAAAAATGGTTCAAAAATATTCTAGAAGAATTATAGATATTCATGGTATAGAACTTTCGCGCTGTAAGAGACAGTGCACTTGCTTATACTAGCTTCAATTTTTTGCGCATTTAAAGAAATTTTTGGTGTTCATAAAATTTGCATGATTGATAATAAGTGCAAAAAAGCTGATATATATATATATATA